GCAGCCAACAGAGCCTCAGAGGTCCTTCCTACCTGGGCGTCTGACCCACAGAGCAAGACGGGCTTCCAGGGGGAGTCCCCAGACTTTCTCTGCCCTCAGGCTCTGAGCCCCACCAGAGACACGCAGATGGACAGGCTGTGCAGCCCCTCGGGGCAGGGGGTGAGGCTGACTTACTGGTCATGCAGAGCAGAGTGTGGAAGAGCCACATCCTGGCTGGAGCAGAGGCAGCGGCGTGGGCCTCGACTCGCTCAGCTTCCCTCCGCAGCTCCAGGGCTCAGGCAGCCAGGAGGCGGGGACAGAGGCGCACACACAGGCAAGGACCACAGGCAGGCAGGCACTTTCAAGTAGACACAGACGCTTCACTTGTAAACGGCTGGCTGCGTGGCTTCCTCAGCAGTTGTGGGCTGGGTCCTGGGAGCTCAGAGACACCAGCCAGCCCTGCCCCATCACCCACGCTTTGGTGGAACAGTGAGCCGAGGTTTGGCCTGGGAACAGGGCTGGATGATCTCAGCAGCAGATGTGTGAGGTGAAGGAGCAGTATTAATCCAGCCGTTGTTTAGCATCCACGTGGGTGGGTCCCAGCCCCATGCCCTGCCCCGGAACCCGCCACTGCACACCTCACCCCAGCGCCTGGCCCAGGGTCCTTCCTACCGAAAGCACCCTCACAGCTCGGGGCTCCGGCACTCCGCCTGCGCACGCGAGGCCCTGAGACTGCGGAAGGTCAGGTGAGTGGAAAGACCCACGTGCTGCCTGAATCGCTGCCTCAGTGCGGCTTTGGCTGCATTCTCGTTAACACCTGACTACAGCCCATGATATGGAACTAACCCAACAGAGCTCTGGGCTACCAGAACAACGGAAGAAGTGACACTCCATGCACCTTTCAGCACACCTTGGATCCAACCCAGCAGCCCAGAGGACACACTGCCAACAGCCTGCAGTCATATTTAAATGCCAACTTCACGATCTGTCCAATTTTCCCCGTGACCACATCTGTCGCAGAAGGAAGTCCCTCCCGCACCTCTACTTCCCAGACTGTTGGCCGTGCAGAGCAGTGCTGTCCAACAGAACTCGGTGATGAGGGTCTAGAGCCGCACGGTCCAACACGGGAGCCCCTAGCCACATGTGGCTACTGAGCCCTTGAAATGTCACCAGTCACTGAGGAACTGAATTTTCAATTTTATTTCATTTTAATTAATTTACAATCAAAAAGGCAGGGGACTCTATGTCTCTCTCACATGAATGCCTGCATCTCCAGGGAGAGCACTTTGAAGTGTTAATATTAAGTGTTAAAACACAGCAGACAGTGGTGATGACTTAATGACTAGATGAAAATCAATTTTATCTTGTTTCTCACAGTGAAAGCCTGCTTGGCCAAAGTTCTGTAAAGACTGATGTCACTTATAACATTCTTGCATTGTTTGCTTTGGTCTGACAAAATACCTCCGACTAGCACGATAGTTCCCTGATGTTACACGGTTGTTTGAACAGAGATTACGATTCACTGTTTTTCACAGTATATACCATCCAACAGAGCAGTTAAACAGATGAAAAAGCAAAGCTCCAGGTCTGATGAGTTGTCCGCCAGATCACGACGAAGATCACCCCAAGTTGGCTTCACCTCGTCACAGGCCAGGGTGCTGGCTGTCTTCCCACACTCAGGGCTCAGTGACTCTTTCCCTCCCTGTTCCCAGTGCCAGGGGCACCTAGCAGAGCAAGGAGGGGCTCCCCTCCCACCACTGGCCCAGAGCGGGAGAGAACAGACCCAGGCCGCAGAGCAGAGCAGCAGTAAGGACAGGCTGGAACCCACGACTGCAGCCTGCTGGAGGTTTCTGAGAGAAAACAGGACTTTGGTTTGGAGTGTGAACTTTAGGACATCCCTGGAGGCCAGGCAAAGTTGATGAGTGGATGCTGGAACAGGTGCAGGGCCATTTTCTGCATCTTTGGAGACTTCCAGAATGCTGACTCCTCCTGCATCCATCCGAGATGTATTTTCCAAGCTTGTTGGTGCCGGCACAGCAGACCCCTAATCACGAGCACGCAGGGGCCCTTCAAGCCCTTCTGACAGTAACTGCTGTCCCCACAAACCCAGACTTAAGGTCCTAAGTCAGAGCCAGGCTATATAATGCTACATCCAAAAGCAATGTGAAAATGGCTTCTTAACTCATTTGACTTTAAACAAATGGTAAGGGACCAACTTGAGGGAATTCTACAACATGACGGGACTGAACACTTCAAAAACGTCAACATCATAAAAGGCAAAGAAAGGCAAAGGAATCGCTCCACATTATAAGAGGCTAAAGACAGGATATTAACTGTAGTGTGTGATCCTGGATTGTAACCTAGACCAGAACAGAACATTATTGGGACAGTTGGCAAAACTGAAGCATGAACCACGGATTAGGTACTATTGTACTGATTAAAATTATACATTTCCTGAATTTGATAACAATACTCTGGTCATATGAGAGAATGTCCTTGTTCTTAGAAAATGTACAGTGAAGTATTACATTTAGGGAGTAAAGGGACGCGATGTAGGCAAGTAACTCTCAAACAGTTCGTGGCTGGTGGGGGACAAGGGGGTGAGGGGGGAGGGAGGGGAGGAAGAAAAGAATGAAATGTGGCAAAACGTTCCTTGTTCTACCCTCGAAACTATTCTGTAATTGTTAAATTGATTCAAAATGAACAGTTTTAAAGTTAGGGGATGGAGGACACATGTTCAGCCTGAGCTGAAAGGACTGACTGCTCTGTCTGGAGAGTGAGCGGAGAGCACAACTCACCAGGGGATGGGGGCTGTCCCCACAGGCCTGCCTCATCGCCCCCAGACACAGGAAGTATTTCTAATTACCCACTTGCCTTCTGAGTCCTAGGAGGCTGGGAGGAGGGCATTTGGAAGAGTGAGGATGTTACTGAGACTAGACACGGGACTGCAGCAGAGGACAGAGCTGGCAAAGGGGCTCCGGGAAGACTGAAAAGCAGTCGTAATCACGCCCATTGACTGAGCGTCAGGAGGGGACGCAGACTCAGGGCCAAGGGCCTTCCACGCAAGCCCTCATCTGATCCTCACAGCCACCATACTCGGTTATCCCGATTTTGCAGATGAGGATGCTGGCTCAGAGACAGAGGTTAAGTAATCTGCCCAAGGCCATATGGCTAGTAAGTGGCCGAGTGGACTCAATCAAATGGGTCTGTTTCCTCCAGAACCAGGACTCTGAACTACAAACCCTACTGCCTTCAGACCCATGGATCAAAATCCCTCCCAGTCTGTGAGCTTTTAAAAAGCAGTGACCTCATTCCACAAACACACACTGGGACCCTTGCATTACTGGGTGCCATGGACTGAACTGTGTCCCCCTCCCCAAATTCATATGTTGACGCCATAACCCCCAATGTGACTACATTTGGAGATAGAGCCTTTAGGAGATAATTAAGATCAAAAAGGTAGGGCCCAGGACTTCCCTGGTGGCACACTGATTAAGAATCTGTCTGCCAGTGCAGGGGACACGGGTTCAAACCCTGGTCGGGGAAGAACCCACGTGCCATGGAGCAACTAAGCCCATGCACCACAACTACGGAGCCTGCACTCTAGAGTCCACAAGCCACGATTACTGAGCCCGCGTGCCACAACTACTGAAGCCGTGCGCCTAGAGCCCGTGCTCCGCAACAAGAGAAGCCACTGCAATGAGAAGCCCGTGCACCGCAACGAAGAGTAGCCCCTGCTCACCGCAGCTAGAGAAAGCTCACGCACAGCAATGAAGACCCAATGCAGACAAAAATAAATAAAATTAAAAAAAAAAAAGGTAGGGCCCTAATCCGATAGGCTTGGTGGCTTGAGAAGAGGAAGAGACCTCTCTCTCTCCAAGCGCACGCACCAAGGAAAGGCCATGTGAGCACACGGTGAGATGCTGTCTGCAAGCCAGGAAGAGAGGCCTCGTGCGAACCCAACTACTAGCACCCTGATCCTGGACTTCTACTTTTAGACCGTTGAGAAAATAAGTTTCTGTTATTTAAGCCACCCAGTCCATGGTATTTTGTCATAGCAGCCTGAGCTGATTAAGACACTGGGCTACCTCCTAAAAAACCTCCCAAGTAAAACACAGAATGGTGTGTGTGCGCACTGGGGAAGGGGGGCCAAGCGGGGAAGGGAGCAAGGGAGAGGATCTCCTTCTCCTTTCGTAACGGAGGGCTGGGGCGGGGGTGTTGCACCGGCTCATGGAACCAAGGGTGCAAGGGCTTAGGCCTCTTGCTTGCCCCCAACTCCTTCCCGTCCAACTTACGCTCCTGATGCTCCTTGGGAAACCTCAGCAAAGATCCTATGACATTAGCACTAGAAGGAAACCTGGAGGTCATCCCACTTGAGCCCTTCATCTGACAGGCAGGAACACTGAGGTCCCAAGAAGCGAAGGGACTCGTTTGGGTTTTTTTTTCAAGTCTGCAGATGAGCTAGAACGAGTCCCCAAGGCTGCGGGCCCAGCCCCAGCCAACACCCCATTTGACCCCCCCGCCGCAAAAGACATTCTACCTGAGCAAATCAGTGCCGTCTCCTGCTCAAGGGCCCTCTGACGAACTCTTGCCACTAAGAGGGGACGCATTAAACACACGACAGCCCCAGGAAGGGACGGGAAGGCCTCATCACCTCTCCTGTCGATGGTGTGGTCCCTTGCTCTAACCAACACTGGTCCCGAGGCAGGGGTGACACAGTCTAAGGTAACACAAAATCTCAACTACTGAAGACTCTGTCATCCAGAGGCGGTCTCTGGAATTGCTCCAACAAAACCAGGTAAGAACCCCGGGTGCCGGGTGCTGACTTTGGTGGGTTAAAGACCACCCATACCCTAGAGTTGTATTTATAGCAGAGCAAAAGCCCACTGCAATGCCTCACAACTATTTGAAATAAGCTTCTGAGCCAGCATTTCCCTGACCGCTCCCAGGAACATCCAAGTTCTGTGAAACGTTCATAGAATTTCATTGTTTTAAAAAAGGCTACAGTATTATTTTTCTTCTAAGATTTATTTTATAAACATGTAAGAAAAGTTCTACATTATCATTGGTCAGACTACACAACAACAGTCTGCCTTGAAGCCAGTATGCTGTTCTCAAGTTCATCAAAGACATTCTGTCCTTTTAGTTCTTCAAAGAAAACAATGGTTTGATTTCTAAGTTACTTCTTATTGTGCAAGATTTAAAAGCAAATACTTGTACATCAACTTATTTGTGCAGCAATTAATTAATCTGTGAAGCCGTCATTTGCTGTTAACTTTAATCCAAACTGCCTGTTAGCATTTCACCGTAACTTTAAAACTGCTCCGCGTGACAGTGGGAAGCCTACTTTAGGCAAAAGAGCTGTTGCCAGGAACGAGTTGTTTCTTTGTGTCTTCTTTGGGCTGCTGTCACTTCCTCACCAATTGGATCAGATGCTAAGAATCGGCCCAGCAGTCTCTCTTTGGGGCCTCTGATCCACCCGCCGGCTTCCTTTCTTGGTCTCCTGGGTGCAGATGAATGCTTTCTAAAAAATATTCTGGATTATCTACATGACTCTCTAGCAAATTCTTTACAAAGCCAGGTAAGCTTCAGCTCAGATACAGCCAGATCATCAAAATTTGAACTTCATGGAGGTCTACTTAATGAGATTCTTTCTTATGCAAGTGCGATTTATGCACTTGTGAACAACCTTCCTCTTTTTTGAATCTGGTAGTCTCCGCTAGAAGCAGACTAGCCTGCAGACAAAGGTGCCAGAGCTGGGTTGGCTTCCCACAATTCATTCATTTGCCAAACACTTTTTAGGCACCATTTACTCTGGACTGGCCTGGTAGGAAGAACAGATAACAACATGAAGAAGCCTGCTCACAGGGGCTGCTAGCAGGGAAAACAAAACATGAAAATAAAGTGTTGTGTGTACAAGGCAGAACCACGAGGACTAGCCTGTAAGAGGATGCCGGGGCTTCAGAGAATGGAGCTGCTCCAGCAGCTGGGGAATTCACACATCCAGCTATGTGTACAGGGGATCTGCCAGGTGCCAGGCACGGCACTCGGACTGGGGAAGCCCATGACCAAGCCAGATGTGGCCCTGCTCTCACGGAGCTCACAGTCTAACAAGAAGACAAAGCAGGAAGACGGAACTGCGATCCAGTGTACCGGTGTGCTGGCTTGAGGGGGTACAGAGATTTGGCATTACATACATATTTCACTTAGGCAAACATTATGGTATTTGTCTGAAAAAGTTAGGAAAAAAAAAAAGTCAAGGAAAACAGTTTTAAGTCATTTGGGCCATTCCATCTGCCACTCCGCTCCCTGAGCAGACAGGCGGGAGGGCCAGAGGTGAGCTTGTGCCCCTGCTGCTCCCGTGGCCTGTCTCAGTTCCCAAGAGCCCCTTCAAAAGCGAACTGCTCGCCTGAGTGTGAGTCTAACAGCTACAAATAAGTGTTGCTTGCATAACACGGCCCTATTTGCAGGCTAACCACTTCTCCTGGTGCTCAGCGAAAGAAACCGTGACCTATTCCTGCACAGGCAGGAACCAGCCGCACTGCACCCTGTGAGAATGGTCTTCAACATGGCGCCTTCCTCAAGGTGTCTGAAAGGAGTTTTGATTACACTCAATTTTTATCCTAGGCATGACTTTATAACCTAAACCTGGAATGTAACAAGACTCCTTCGTGGCAGCACCACGGGACACATAACAGGGCCAATAACCTTGCTCTGGAAGTTGCACGTAGCTTCCTGGAGAGGTTTGTAAGTCCTTGAGGATGAGGGAGAGGAGAAGGCAAAGCTGAAGTGGGATGAGGAGAGGACCAGGGGGTCACTGGGGGGAGGAACAGCACTGAGCAAAGTCTGGGAGGCTGGTGAGATCAAGATGCCTCCAGGAAACCAGCAGGCAGAAGGTCGGGGAGGATGGGGAGAAGAGGCTAGAGATACTGCCAGAGGCTAGATCTTGACCAGCCTCGTGAGCTGTCAAACGAGTTCAGAATTTATCCCATCGGCAATGGTGATGCTTTTAGGCAGAGGAGTAATAGGAATAACCTTCGTAAGAATGTTCGTCCTGAAGCACATGAAAAGATGCCCAACATCATTAGTCATCAAGGAAATGCAAATCAAAACCATAATGAGATACCAATTCACATCGAAACATAACAAGTCTTGACAAAGATGTGGAAAAACTGGAACCCTCATACGTTGCTGGGGGGAATGGAAAATGGTGCAGCCACTTGGAAAAACAGTCTGGCAGCTCTTCAAAGGTTAAAGATAGAGATACCAGAGGACCCAGCAATTCCACTCCTAGGTATATAACCCAAGAGTAATGAAAACATATGTCCATGTAAAAACTTGTACATGAATTCTCACAGCAGCCTTATTCATAACAGCCAAAAAGTAGAAACAACTCACCGGTCCATCAACTGATGAATGGCTAAACAAAATATGGTATACCCATACGATGGAACGTTACTCAGCAATTACAAGAAACGAAGTACTGATATATATTACAACATGGATGAACCTCGAAAATGTTTAGTTAAAGAAACCAGTCACAAACAGCCACAAAGTGTATGATTTCCATTTATATGAAATGTTCAGAACAGATAAATCCATAGACACAAAAAGTAGTTAGTGGTTGCCAGTGGGGAACAGGGGATGGGGTACTGCGAATGGGTACAGGGTTTCTTTTTGATGATGAAAATATTCTCACATTGATTATGGCAATGGATGCACAACTCTGTGAATATACTAAAAGCCACTGAAATGTACACTTTAAATGGGTGAACCGTATGCTATGTAAATCATATCTCAATGAAGCTGCTAACAACACCGAAAGTTCATCCCAGCTGCAGTGTGCAGAATGGAGAAGGAGAGACAGGGCAGAGGAACCAGTAAAGAGGCTGCTGCAGGGATGGAGTGGGAGAAGACAGTTTCTGACCTAAGGCGAGGGACTCATGGGGTCAGGCTAGAGGAGGCCAGGGGAGGAGAGGTTTCATTGTGTGCTGGGCTCCACAAGCTCTCCTGGGTAGTTGGCACCTCTCCCAAGGTGGAGAGTGGAAAACAGAAATGAGGTATCTGTAATTATTATCAAGCAGCAAAACGTATCTAAAATCTCATATGTGTAAAGACTAAACCGACTGTCCATCTTTGCTCCCCAGCTCCCAAGAAAGGGCCTGGGCTTCCAGAACACTCGTAAGACGCTGCAAGATCTGAGTGCTTGAGTGGGCTGGAGAGTGAGAGGCTAAGGCCAATAACTTTGGGAAATAAAACTTAACGTCTTTAAAGGTAATTTTCTGGGCTGTGCGTGTTTGTGAGAACTGCAAGGCTGCTGAAGTAGGCATTTTTCTTGGTCACAACAGTTTTAACTACATACCACCGCCCTTCCTGAAAGCCTTCCTTGATCCCTAGCAAAAGACTGGTGAGGGCTAAAAGGCCATGGGACAAGTGGGCCTGAACTACTGGTGGGAAAGGGTCATGACTGGGAAACACAAGGGAAAGTCTGAGAAGGGGAGTTTTCTGAACACTGCAGAGAGCATGTCAGTGGGGACCCTGACCACGGGGACCTCTTTGTCTCACTAGTGGCCCAGAGACTGGAGTGGGGTGGGGGTAGTCCCGTCCACAACCTCACGCACACCCTCAGTTGTCTCCTTGACACTCCCCGCACCTGCCGCAGACGCTGGTGCTGGCCAGCCCGCTGCAGCCACCGCTCTGAGACAGCAAAACACCATTAAGACGCACCAACGAAGCCAGCGGCTCAGGTACCAGCCCATTCATTTGCTAGAAGGGGAAACTGAGGCCCAGGCCCACGGAGCAGAGCCAGGGGTCGGCGTCTCTGACTCTACAGCCCCTGCACTTCTCACTTGACCAACCGCCCAGACCCTGGCCCCTCCTCAAGAACCTGGTTCCCAGCTGTGTGCTTCATGGGCAAAGAGCTGAGAAACCTCAGAAACCTTAGGTCTCAACTGGCAGGGAAACCAGAACCAGCTCTTTCCTAGAATCCCACTAGGAAGCTGAAACATATCATGGTTACATGCTCTCATCTTTCTACAGGGAGGGAAAAAGCAGGTTAACCAACAAAATATGGACAACACAGTTCTTGTTGCAACTCTCAAGTCTCCCCGCCCTTCTTTATTAAACAAAGCGTTCGTTCTGCCCTCCGTTCTGCCCTCCACCGCACCGCACTGCAATCAACTAATCATGTGACCATTAGCTCAGGCAGAGCAAAGAGCTCTAGAACCCTGAGCTGCACTGGGTGCTGAACATTCCAGACAGGTGAGGGGCTGTGACATCACACAAGCAACACAGGCTTTATTCTCTTTAACTCCTAAGCTCTACTGAATTGAAGTAAGACACTATTTTTAAGCCTGCAGAGGAATACAACACTAAATACTTCAAAATAAAAATCAGACAGGAAGACAAAATAACCTACCACCTTCTCATGGTAAAACAATCTGAAAGGAGTTTAGAAATAAATGAACTAAAATTTCTGTAACTATTATCTTATTTGCCAGTTTTGCAGAAGTCTTCAAGTGCCAGAACTTGGAGACAGAAAGAATAAATATCAGTGTTATCACTTCTGAAGTGATAATAAATGACAGGTTCCCATCTCAGGTGGATGGGTTTTTTTCCCTACAGCGGCCAAAAAGCAAGGTAAACTCTATGTACAACAGACAGACTATACAGTTGGGATCATTTAAAAATAATGCGGCTCCCCTCTTTGCCTTCTTCCAAAGTATATAATATATATTTAACAGCACATAAGAAGACACCACTTGAGCTTCCCTCGTAGCCAAAAGGAAATATTTTCACATATAAAAATTAAAAATTTAAACTTTTAAATCATTAATATTTTTTAAACATAATACAGACTTAAAAATTGTTCAACATTAACCCATGACCCCACCCCTAGCACAAAAATCCACCCCAAAGTCACAGTTTTTTGTTCCTAAAAATCCCACAGCACTGAACTTGATCTTCACTGCAAGCTGATTGCTAACAAGGCCCCCTAACAGAAATCCCCAGGGAGGAACGAAGGGCGATCGACGCTGCGGCTCTTATCTACCTGGGCGGCACGGGTGCACCTCTGAGGTCAGGTCCATGAGATTCGGCCCCCACACTAGGATCCTGGAAGGGTGAGCTGGCAGCTTCCCTCATCTTCCCCCTCGAAGGCTGTCCAATAAGCACCTGGGAATTGACTTTTCTTGGAAAAAGGGTGCTGGTAACAGCTGTCAGGGCCAAGGCAATAGTGAGAAGTTCAGTTCTCTGCTCTTTGGATGAACTGTGTAAAACATTTCTTTTAAAAGACACAATGTTAAAAATATTAAGAAAAATGTCTACAAAATCTGGAGGACTGCCTTTTCCTCAAAGGGTAAAGCTTGTGGGGTGGTGGGAAAAGAAATGAGGGCCCAGAACTATAACTCTGCAGCAAAAGATTAGATAGATGCCCTTCAAAACATGTCACATTCTTAAGATGTCTTGCTGAAGTAGCAAGAGCAGAGGGTGACTGCGTGAGCCAGAACGGGAGGGGCGCCAACTCCCACATGGGGGGTTCCTACTGTGCACCCCACCCTGCAAAAGAATGTCAGGCTTCAGGGCAGCTGCCTTGGGCCCCAAGGGCATCAGGACTCTGCCTCTGAACCAGAGCTGCTTTCCCGACTAACTTCAATCTGGAGAGATGGTAAGTTATCTAACCGGCTCTTCTTTTGGCGAGACTGTTCTTTCTCCTTAATCAGAGCCCCCCATGCCCTCTGCAGCTCGGAGTCATCTTCCTCTGTGCCGGGCGCCCTGTGATCCGCTTTCTTCGTGTTCTTTTCTTTGGTCTTGGGTGCAGATCCTAAGCGATTCCATAAACTACCTGTTTGGGTGAGAAGGCATTTCAGCTCTAGCAGTCGATGCTGAGAAACAGGGGCACTGGCAACACCTGATGTGCAGGAAGCACGGGGCGGGGGGCGGGGATGGAGCCAGCGGGGCGGCTGGGGGGTTGTCCGTGGCACCTGCAACCATGGTGCAGCCTTGGGCAGATCCTCTCCTTTCCCCGGCTGCAGTCCCCTGCCTGCAGACTGAGAGAACTGGACCCAACGGGAGATTCTCTCAGCTCGGGGATATGTGCCCCCCGACCCCACCCTACCCCATGCTAGGCACATCAGAATCACCTGGGAGGCTGCTTATACTACACCTGCCCCTGCCTGGTGAGACTCACCATCCCGTCCGTGGACAACTTCATTCTGCCAGGACTGGGCCATTCCCAAATCTTCCCAGCTACAACATTCTGCAAACTGATGGGCCTGCTACACTGTCAACTTTCAGATTCTGCCCACTCTCCATTAATTTTTCAAATATTAATATTTAACAATAGAGAAATACACAGAATTTCATAAGATAGACACTCTGTAAGGCAATTAAAAGTTTTATGTATAAGGGCTTCCCTGGTGGCGCAGTGGTTGAGAGTCCGCCTGCCGATGCAGGGGACACGGGTTCGTGCCCCGGTCCGGGAAGATCCCACATGCTGTGGAGCGGCTGGGCCCGTGAGCCATGGCCACTGAGCCTGAGCATCCGGAGCCTGTGCTCCGCAATGGGAGAGGCCACAAAAGTGAGAGGCCCACGTACCGCAAAAAAAAAAAAAAAAGTTTTATTTATAAAAGCTATAACAATGTGGAAAAATGCCTATGATATGATGATATATGAAAATAATAGTATATTTATATGGGTAAAGACTGGAATAGCATGAAACTAAAAAGTATTTGTGTTAAACAGAAAGAATCAGGGGTGAGTCTTTTTTCCCATTTTCTAAATTTTCCACACTGTTACCATTATGATGATGATGATGATGATGATGACTATAATGAAAGAGGAAAAATAATTTATTTTTGTCATATGCTATTTCCTGCCTTCTGCTAACAAAGTATTTCTGTGCTACACCCATTGTCTCTGCTCTTACCCAATTCCCTTCTCCATCAGTTTTCAGTGTTACCAACCTGATTTCTTCTCCCGAGTATCAGAGTAGAGGCCTTTAACATCTTGCCTGGGAACACCTAGCCTACTATGTACATCAGAAAAGGGCTCTCTCCGAACGACTGGGTTACTACTAAAAGCCTTTTCCGGAGAATGTGGTCTTTTTCCTAATCGCTGGCGTATATCTAGAAAAAGAAAAAAAGTACTGCCATGACCACGTGCATATGCTTTGCTATCTGTACTGTCAACCTGAGATCTCTGCAGGACCTGGTACCGAATCTCCCCGAGATTTAGACACGCGCTGGACATGGGGCCCAGCACAACCAGGCTTTTAAGAGCCTTCCCTCTACAGAGTCTGGATTCTCTGGGAAAATTCAAATGAGAATCCCCAGGGGCTCGCAGGGGGAAAAAAACCTTAGCTGACTGCTCCAGAAAGGAACTTCTCAGGCAGAATTGTCTGCTTTGTGTTTTCTGTAGTAGGATCAAGCAGAGCAAATAATTTACGAACATTTCGGCTAACAAGAAATACTGCAAGCTCCCTGAGGACAGAAGCCACAATCTCTGAACATGTAAGAAGTTCTCAATAAACTATTACATTGAACAATAGTTGTAATGAGACTGACAAAAAGCAAAGGATCAAGGGAAGATGTCCCAACTCATATTTGTTTTTCCTCCAAGCCCCGCCCCCCCAGAAACCTGCCTGTCCTCCTGAGCTCCCTCTCACAATAACAGCAACCACAAAAACACATTTATTAGCAAGTCCCTGTGCTGGGCTTTCACCCACCTTGCCTATGCTCTCTGAGGACAGCACCCCCATCTTTCAGCCCCTCAGGCCTGGGCCCTTGGCTTCTCTCCCTTTCCTCCCGCAATTCCCAGCGCCGAGTCTTCTTCCTCTCCAAGGCTGACACTGTCATCAGTTCTGCCTCCACTGTCCCTGATCTAGTTCAGGCCCTTGTTACTTACTTAACTCTCCGTCACATGCTACGCCGCCACCAAGTTACCTTTCTAAAATAGATATAAGATCAGGTTACTTCCCACCTCAAAAAAACTAGGTTTGCCAACTGAGATCCTATTTCCTCTCCGAGGCCTCACTCCACAGCCACGTGCTTGGAGAAGCATCCCACAACAGATCTTCCCCCAAAAGATCCACCTCCCCTCTCTGCTCCCACAGCCCACTGCTTACAGTGCCCTATCACAGCACTTACTCCATTCTGCTTCAGGTGGAATTACCTGAATGTGTGCCCTTATGTTTTTCCATCTGAGTTCTATGATTACTTTGCATCCCCTGCAAAGACTTCTAACACTCCCAGCATCTAGCCCTGGCACACAGCAGGCATGGCCAAGTACCCACTATATGCGTGTTTGCACATATAAACTAACCAGTTCAAACTCTTAACCATTTATACAACAACCCGAATTAATTTCTATTATCCTTATGTATGAAGTATACCAATGACATACAGAGTAAAATAATTGTTTGGGACAAAAATATTGAAAATGAGTATTGCAAAAGTCTGATTAAATTTCATGTCCTAAAGTGCCAATGCCTAACCCAAAATTTAGAAGTGATGAATCAGGACTACTAAATTGGTCCGTAAATGACAGTGTTTTATCCAAGAACCTATCCCTGTCTGCATTTGCTTTCTGGAACTCAGAATGAAGCCCAGATACACAACTCAACAATACCTGTTTTAGTACTGCTGCCAGGTGGCCGTGGACGTGTGTGTTGACGTTTTTCATCTAACAAATGTCGGACATCTGCAAATTTCTCAGGTGTTAATTTGTTACCAATTCGGTTTTTTATATTGCTTGTAGATAGAGTATCTGCCTTCATGGAGTTCCTTTAAAAAGGGGGTGGGGGAACAGTAAACCAACTTGAACTGTGGGATAACGCTCATACAACAATCTCATACACTCTGGAAAAACAATTTAAGAAACCCAATTAACATGGCCAACGAACATTCACTTACAACACCATAAACCAGTAATTATTTGCTTACAAAAGCCAGGACCAGCCTGCTGTAAAGAGGCTGCTTGGGGTTGAGCAGGCCCGAGTCTTCCGGGGTGGTTTCCGCACACGGCATCTGCAAGCTATCGCAGAGCACGTACCTGCGAGCCCCCTCCTCCTGGGACAAAGGCTAAGTAGAGGCCTGCAGAGGGCTGGAGGCCTCTGCTCACCCAGGCTGTGATCTGGCTATAGTCTAGACACAACGGAGTCTACAACCCCTTTCGTTAAAGGACAGATGTCTCTGCCAAAGACCTCTCCCACCATGTCAGGGGACGAGTTCCATTATTCTGGCAGCATTTGCCACTGGAAAGTTCTCTAAAAACTAAAAATAAGGATGTGAACAAGGCCATACAAACCAACCAGCTTAAAAGTTTTTTCCTCCCTTTTCCCAAACACACCATCAAGAACTCTTAGAGAGCACCCCAGCTTCGAGCCCTCTCTGAGCCAGGCATATGCGATCTGCCCTCAGGAATCTGCTCAGCTCCACTGGTCATCAAAGAACGCATATTAAAATAACTGTATTTTTTCGTCCATGAATAGCAAAAATCAGAGTGATAATACCTAAGGGTGGTGAATTATGTAGGCAACAGGTGGTAATTTGAGTAAAACCTTTTTGGAAGGAAATTTAGCAACATCACATTTTAAAACATGTGCCTTGACTTATGCAGTAACTAGAATTTATCTAGTTGTTGCAACAGTAAGAAAACAGAAATCCAGGGAATCCTCTGGCATCCCAGTGGTTAGGGCACTGCCCTTTCACTGCCGAGGGCCCAGGTTTGATCGCTGGTTGGGGAACTAAGATCCTGTGAGCCGCATGGCGCAGCCAAGGGAAAAAAAAACAGAACAGAAATCTCCATCAATAAGGGACTGGTTAAGTAAACAACGACACTTTCACACAATGGACTACATACACTTGAAAAATTAGCAGACGTCTACACTACATTAAATGGAAAAAGCGTATGTCAAAACAATGTAAACGGTATAGCTTAATTTTTGTACAAAGATATCTATAATTTCTCTATGTGTTATGTATACACATAAAACTAGCAGGAAAGTAATTCACCCAATTGCTAACAGTCGTTCTCTTAGAAGAGGAGATTACAGGTGACTTCACTTTCTATATCGTTACAGCTTTTATAACAAGGATCACCTCTTGTACATTAAGAGGAAAAATCAGATGCTTTTATTCAAATTCTACAAAGGACTGAAATTAGAAAAGATAAAAGTGGATATAAAATTAAGAGGCATTAAGAAGAAGTTAGTAACTGGTATTAAGAAGAACTTAGTAATTTTTTAAATCAAATTAAAAGCTAGCACTGATAAAAAGAAAAACATATTTTTACCTGATATTTTTCAGCTGAGATTCCACTTCGTCTGCATACATCGTCATTTTCATGCTCTTCTTTGGCGAAGGGGTGGAAATCATTTTCAGTTCGAGATCATAGTCCATTTCATCCGAGTCTGAGCTGCTGGCACTGGACCGCCTAGACGTGCTCCGCTCCCGGGTCTGCTTGAGGGCTGGGAGCTCCTCGTGGTACTCCACCACCACCCTGTCATCAGCATCCATGTCCTGGTCCGCCTCTTCCTCCTCCTCCTCTTCCTCCTCCTCGATGGGTTCCTCAGGAACATTCACTAGTCCTAAGGAATTTAACCAAAAAACATTAGGAAAAGCCCTAAAACTAACAAATCCAATTTTCTATTCTACGTCAGTGACCTTTTTAAAAGATGGGATTCCCATCCTTAGAGTTTGTTGGGGCATTATGTATAATAGGGCTAATCTGGTTACCATTCTGATCCCGACAACAAAGAATGTCTAGGTAAAGTATGAACGAGCAGCCTGATGCCATATTACAGAGTTATCTAAAATACAGACCCTCATCATTATTCACAGATTCTGTATTTGTGAATTTGCCAATTTTATTTGTAACTCCAGAATCAAAACCCATGGCGCTTTCGTGGTCATTTGTGGACATGCATAGGAGCAGCAAAAAATTTGAGGCACCAGCCATGCATGTTCCCAGCTGCGGGCAAGCAAAGCCACATCTTCTTTGTTTTATCTCTCACACTGTAAACAAGTGTCCTTTTTGCAGTCCAGCGAGTGCTAATTTTTAACACTTTTGTGGCTTTTATTGGTGATTCCCTTGTTTAAAATAGCCTCTGAGCATAGTTCCAAAGCTGTCTAGTGTTCCTAAACGCAATGAGGCTGTGATGTGCCATATGGAGAAAATACGTGTGTTAGATAAGCTTTGTTCGGGCATGAGTTACACTGCTGCTGGCCTCGAGTCCAATGTTAATGAATCAACGGTATGTAGTAAATGAGGTGTCTTTAAGCAGAAACACACATCAAACAAAGTTATATACTGATCAGTTGACAAAAATGGTGTGATTAGGGCTTCCCTGGTGGCGCAGTGGTTGAGAGTATGCCTGCAGATGCAGGGGACGTGGGTTCGTGCCCCGGTCCGGGAAGATCCCACATGCTGTGGAGCGGCTTGGCCCGTGAGCCATGGGTGCTGAGCCTGCGCATCCGGAGTCTGTGCTCCACAACGGGAGAGGCCACAACAGTGAGAGGCCCACTTACCGCAAAAAAAAAAAAAATGGTGTGATTAGAGTCTCTGAATGGTTTTCAATGATCACGGTGACTTTATAGAACATAACCACCATGAATAATGAAATGTACCTTTAAAAGTCATGGAAAAATGCTTGTAAGTGGAATGCTTGAAGCAGAATATAAAATATATGTCCACAACAGTTATTATAGTATTTATTGTGAAAAGAGACAAAGGAAAAATGTAAAATGAAATCAGTTGTTAATCTTGGAGTGCTAGAATTAGAGGCAATTTGTTTTTTAATTTCTTTAATATGAATATAAAGATTATATAATGAAAATAAAAGTAACTGAAATTGGAAAAGCCTAACTGTGTATCAGAAAAGTATGTGCGTTAAGATGCAGATTTCAAATATACAAGTTTGGATATTCACATGAAATTAAAATGTAGAGATTTCATCTCTCCCTGTCCCTATTACAATAATAAATGTGTATGCGTGTTATTCTGTGTTTGTATGCTGACTTGGCTGGTTCTACAAAGCATATAGAAGATTTTCACAGATCAGACTCAAAATAAACAAATCTTTATAAAACTTAATGAAAATGGTTCTTTCACAATAAGCACCAAAAGGAAGGACGGAAGGAAGGGAGGACGGAAGGAAGGGAGGAAGGGAGGCAGGGGGGGTAGGGAGGGGGGGGAGGGAGGGGAGAGAGAGGAAGAGAAAAAGAAAGAAAAAGAAAAAAGAAGAAACAAAATGAAACCCAAGTCATGATATCCCACTTTACTGAGGCATTCACGTGCACAAGCCAATAAGCACAGAACGCTAAACATAGCAGCTTATTTTCATCAGACAAAGGAACGATCAAATCAACTCATCCAACAAAATAATTCAAAAAATTTTTTTCATGCAGCTTTTGATATTAATAGGAAAATTAGATTCCTAAGAAAAGTTTTAATTTTTCCTACATCTTGCCTTTATTGTTAGAACGGCTTTTATAAAATCATTTGACCTCTTTGTACGGGGCAATTTCAAATTAATTGTGACTTGACTTACTTTCCTATATGTTGGCAGAGGGTGAGGGCAAGGAAGAGAGGATGATAAAGTTTGGAACCTTAAGAGACTGTATTAAGAATAAAAATATGATTTCAGGAGCCAAACATGTGTCTACCCAAGAGCTGAGCAGGCAACTACCGGAATGTCGGTGTTCATAGGATGTCAAGCCAACGTCGTCCCCAATCAGGGCTCTCTTCTTGATCACATCCCGCTGAATGCGACGGGAATGGTATCTTCGCTTCCTGCAACATTGCCAAAACAAGCACATAATCAAAAACCAGCAGGAAGGGCCTTGAAATCCACTAGTTAATTTCAACTACACCCTGACACAACGTTAGGTGCTGAAACCGAGATATTTCCCATGAAACTGAAAGTCAGCATTCTCACACCATTTACCACAGTTAAAAATCTTGAATTCTTTCTTCTTGTTTTCCTTCACGTCCACATACGGTGTTGACATTCCACTGCAGAATACCAACTGAAGGATTATGAAAAGCTTACATACTATTTAAACTATTGTATTTTAAGGTTTTGGACTCACCAAGAATTACTAAGAATTCCTTTCATGCCTCCGTAATTTGGATTCCCATATTTCATGTAATACTGACTTCTTCTTGCTGCTCCAAGTTCCTTTTTGTCATCTAAAAATTAATTACAAGTTACCAAGGATTTCCTGTGAGTGTGAAGACAATGTTGAATGGGTTTAAAAAAAAAAAAGAATGTTTTTCATGGCTGGGATCAGATCAGCACAATCAGCCAACAAAAGGGGAGGACGCACTAGAAACACTCACTCTCTGAGCGCCTCCTAACGCACTGCCTTGTGGAGGCGGTGGAGCAAAATTCAGAGACGAGGGAGGTTAAGCTGCTGTTAGGGAGCTGACTTCATAGAGAAAATACTATTAACAACAATACAATATACTAGGTTCCAAGAAGCACAGGGGAACATCAGTTATCACCAGCGTTCAGGAATCAAAAAGGCTTTTAGAAGAGGTGGCATTTTCACTGCCCCCTGAAAGATGATACTCACTTCTGAATGATAACACTCCAGTAACACAGAATCAGGGTCAAAGAAACAGATTATACACAGGTCCATGTATTTGGCAAACCATTTTTTTTCCAGTTTACCGTGATGTTCCTCAAAATGGCTTAAGGAAAACAGCACAGCACCATATATCCAGAATGCACACAAATGGTCCCTCGAATAAGTAAATGAAGACAAGACCCCATTTATCAAGTTAAAATGCCAGTTAACAGGAAGAAAAGGTGGTCAGTGAGCACACATATTTTCATAACATAAAGGTCTCTTGACAGCTCCCTGGGCACTCACTGAACGCAAGGGATGAACACCAATGAGAATGTACCCAGTGCTAGAGATAAACTTGGTGTCACAAACCAGAATGTGCACCCTACAAAAAGCATGCCCACCAGCTCCCTGGAGAAATGGCTGATTCCAGATCTGGGGCAGGGAAAGTACAAGTTGAGTCTGGCAAAACAAGATGTTTTATTGTGCCATAAAGAAAGAACTCAAAGAATCATGAAGGCGTGTCACAAGAACACAGTTTGAAGAGGCTCTACTGGCCAAATCCAAAATAATTTGTGAATCAAAATAATGATAGAATGGATGATAACCCATTGAATAAAACTCCATGAATCTAAACTGATATAAGTAAAAAAGATAAGTAAATACATAAACAAATGGGTAAAAAGGGGAAGCTCTTCCTTACGGCAGACTGCCAACTAATAAATGAGAGAGCTAAAAAGTCATCAATGGATCTAAAGCTACGGCATGGAAGTTGGATGAGGAACAGGCTATTTACATAACCTCAAAGCATCTCCCCACAAACCTTTAAATTATAAATGGAAAAAGAGTAACTTTATAGTGGAGAAACCTGGCGATCATTACCTTAACCAAGTGATAAAAGCTAACATCCTCAGGAAGGGGATAAATAAATACAATGTGCCTCCTGATATGATGCACTGAAAATGACACAATGTCACGTCTGTGGTATAAACGCACAACCCGAATTTAATTAGGAGACATCAGACAAACTAAGGGGCAGCCTATAAAATAATGAGCCTATCCTCTTTAAAAATGTCCCAGTCAAGGAAAACAAAGGAGTAGTTCCATATTCAGGGAGACTAAGGCGACACGGCAGACTTAAACACCCGGGCCTAGAGTGGATCCTAGTTCAGTGGGGGAGTAGTATAAAGAATAATCCAAATGTATTTGATAATCATCATTGTCAGCAGCAGCAGCAGCATGAACTCTTAACACTGACACAGCACTCACTGTGTGCCAGGTAGTTTTTTCTTCCCCCAGGTAGTTTAAATATACAGAGTGGGGAGCTGGTACAATCTGAACGTGGGCTCCGAATTAGGTAACAGTATTGTATTAATGCTAAGTTCCCTGATTTTGATAACTGTGTGTAAAACCAAGTCCTTGTTCTTCGGAAATACTTACTGAAGTATTCAGGGGTGAAGAGTTGTCATTTCCAATTAACTCTCAACTGACTCAACCCCCACCACCACACACACATTATTAATGTGTACCCAAATCATTATGTGTAAAAAGCCTTATGAATTGTTAAGAGGCTTTTTATTTAATTCTTTAGAGAATTAGAGTTGAATGGCGCTACTAGCAATGTCCAGGAAGGTATTGCTATGATACCTAAAATACAATTTTAAAGTTTTCATAGTTCAGATGATAAACTGGCTGAAAAGCACATGGGACAAACCAGCTTTGACAGAAAATAACTTACCTTAGCTAGAAACCACAAAAGTGTACAAATAACTAATATTCACTTTCAATGTGTGAAATTCCAACTCAGGCAGCAAGTCATTGATTTTATAAGCACAGAATATTACAGTTTGAAGGATCTTTGAGATTACTTGACCTAGGTTCTGATTCAAGAGAGGTGTCACTCAATAAAAATCACTTTGATTAAAAATAAAAATAAATAAAAAATAAAAATCAATACCAATTATCATTTACCTTTTGTAGCAAATCTCATGAATAACCTATTTCCTTTAGCAAGTTTGTTCGCTGGACGAAGATCATTTCTTAGCAGAGATTCTTCTTCTACCTGAGACAACGTGTCCAACTTAAGAAAAAAGAGCATTTTCGACATAAAAATTAAAGCCTTTTTCATATTCATTCAGCAGCAAAGTTACCACTGATTAAGAAAGCAATCTACCTTTACTAATACCCATCAGCATTACAGCACCAGTTCCTCTGCAGGATGTCTAAGTCAGAGGTCTTCCCTGACCACCTTGTCTAAAAGAATCGTCTCCATCATTCTCTATCTGCTTACCCTTCTTTACTTTTCTTCACAGCACTCATCACTTCCTGACATTATATTACATATCTGTGTATCAGTGTATTGTCTGTCTACCCCACTAGAATGTAGGCTCCGACAGGGTAAGGACTTTGTTTTGCTGGACGCTATACCCCCAGCACCTAGAATTTGGTATATGGTAGGCATTTAATAAATAATTTTAAAATGAATGCACTTTAATATTTCCAACAACAGTACATACGCCATTAGGAAATATGCCATTACTTGCTATTCCTTAATTTTACTGATTTGATAGCATTTCAAAGGATTTCTCAATAAAACCATTTCCTTTCATACAGAAGTGTGAGTACTAAGATCTCAAGATGAATCATTCATTATAGCCACACGAACTTAAAGGCCAAGAGCCTGGTGCCCCCTCAGGAGGTATAATGGTGAAAGCCAGAGGAGGAACACAACGTACTGTATTAAGTCTTTAAGGCTTAAATACCAAGACAGTAAGCAGTTGTTTACAGTGAAACCTTACAGACACCTTTGCCCTCTCACTGACCTCTACATCACTTGCGTTCTCATCTTCAACTTCTCCTTCTTCAGCCTCATCGTCGTCGGAACTGTCTTCCTGCTTGTCTAAAACGGAACGTGAGGGACAAGATGAATCTTAACTCCATCTCATGCATGCTAAGTCTAATATTTTCTCCTCCTCTTTACTAATGATCCAAAGCATCACAGCTTATTTCAGAAATAACTGGCGATGAGATGCTATAGAACACTGCACAGAAACTCAAGTTGTAAAGGACAGGACTTTTAGCCCCAAAGTCCCTCCTTTGTGGTCAGTTACCTTTTTTACTTTTCTCAGACGACTTGTCCTCATTGGCATCCCTGCTTCTTATCTTATCCAGGGCTGGCAGGGAACTCATATTGATAAGGGCTCGTGTGGCTGTCATTTCATCCAACCAAACCACATTACCTAAAATAAGATAACACGTTACATCACATCCAAATGGTTAAGTTTCTTGAGAACAGAGACTACATCATATTCACTGCTAAAGTCTCATTCAGCTATGGCCTGGCATCAGTAAATGTACACACCAACTAATGAAAGGAACTACAGAACCTGGTAGTAAAACTTCTTTGATAAAATCAACCTAGAGCTACATTCCCAAACTGGGTCCACAAAATAATGGTCAAGTATTCCATGAAAAGGGGTTCTGTATATTAAAACTGCCTGGCATACAGTGGCTGTTATACATAAGTGTTAGCAGTTCTTGATGATGATGATGGTGAAAATTCTCAAATAAATTTAGATTATCCTTTATTCTACTGCCCCCTACATGGAAGCCCTCTGCTGTTCCTTGTTATCCAGACATGCTAAATGATGTTTCCCTACTGTGAAGTGTGGGTGACGATGGCATCCATGGGATATATAGAATGGAGGCGTGACAGCCACCTGGCTTTGCAGCAATCAATTTAATTTGCTTCTTTAAGAGAAGTTAGCAAGAAAAGGTTTTTGAGAAGTTTAACTTTAAAGCAGCGTTTCTCAAACTTATGTTACTCCTGTATCTCAGTTTGGGAAATGAAAGTCTAAAGAGTCTCATCTTTGTTAATAATACGCCACATGGTCTTGAGCAAATAACCTCCCGCTTCTGTTTCTCAGTTTCTGATGTACAATACGAGATAGGTGAACTGGATGATTCTAAGGGTTCCTCTGACTCTAACATCCCTTAGCTACAGTTTTAATTAGATAAATCAGGCATTAGCAAATCCAGCCCACCACCTGCTATCATTGATTCATTCATCCATCCATCCATCACCCATCCATTTATCTATTTATACTTGAACCGGCTTTATTTAGTTATAACTAACGTATAATAAACTACACACCTGCCACCTGTTTTTGTAAACAAAGTTCTACAGAGAACAGCCAGGCTCATTCAGTTATATTGTCTATAGCTGCTTTCACGCTACAACGGCAAAGCTGGGTAGATTCCACAGAGACTGTATGGCCTGCAAAGCCTACAATATTTATCATCCAGCCCTTTATAAAAAAGGCTTGCCATCCCCTGATTTGGATGGTCTAAGTTAAGAAAAAAGAAAAAAGGAGAAAAACTTTTACTCAGTCATGCTTCTTCTTCTTTCAACGAATTAACATCTAAGAAAGCAGCCGGGAAAAGCAGGTCAGCACACTGGCAGAAAGTAAAGCCAGACTAGAAGTGAGACAAGACAAGAAGCCAGCAGAGTGGGTACCAAAGGTCAGGCCAGACTTGGAGAGGGGACGCAAGTTAAAAATTACAGTTAGCTCACAAGTGGAACAGTCCCCAGATTAGGGCCAGCAGATGAAGCTCCAGAAAACACAGTCCAAAGCAAGCAGAGATGAGAGGTCTGGCACTGTGTCAGAGGGTTCTGGTCTAGTTCTAGGTCAGAGATAGCCCTCTGAAAAGCTGTATGGCAAGTTGCAATGACAAAGTCTAAAGCCCTGAAAATGCAGCCCCAAGTCTATGCAGTTGGACCCACCCCTTTGTTGGGAAACTGTGGGTGTTAAGAGAGGCCTCAGTCATGTACCCTGGACTCAGCTGCCAACAACCATCCTCCTAGAGGCCGGGTAACCACCTCTGAGCTGACTTAGAATACGCATGGAGTACGATCTGGCAGACTGGTTAACGCACTCTGGTTCTCAGCAGTGAGCAATTTTTTCTCTCCTAGGCTAAAGGCAGAGGTTAGACATAGTCTGGCCAAAATCATTCACCATTTGAGATGGCAAAAATTCTTTTAATATCATAAACAAAAGCATATTCAAGTAACCTGGGTTACTTACAGGAGGTATCATCCAACCACTCAATGTGGGCCGGAGGATATTCTTTAAAATAGGAAAAGACATCCTGGGTACTCATCTCATCTACGCCGCAAATGTAGATTGTCTCCAGTCTCACTTTGGGGATTGCTAGAAAAACAAGACACCTGCTGTTGCACAATCCACCAGTAGCCCGTTGTAACAGTTCAGATAATAGGTATTTTAAAAAGAAATATGCTGAAAGAGATAATAATTATTTCAAAAGAAAATGAGACTTGACAGTAAGGTAAACTATTTTAATTTTTATCACACATCAATAGCATTAAATAAACGACTATTCAGAATGGGCTTATTAGGCTGAGGAAGATTAAACAAATGGTGTTGATTATATACATGATACCTCGTCTCAAAATGACCTGTAATAATAAAAGCAGTACCGAATTCAACAGGGTTATTCATTGAACTTGATACACTGATTCTAAAATTTTTTAAAGATATGTCAACGAGAAATGTGCGATAGTCAAGACAGTTCTGAGAAGAAGAGACACTGCCCCTGGGTGTCCAGCAAAGTATGAAAGTAGAGCAAAGAAATCCTACAAATCAATAGAAAATGACGGCCCCAAATAAAAATGGGCAGAGGACATGAGCAGAGGACATGAGCAGAGGACATGGGCAGGCAATCCACACAAAAAGAAACAGAAAAGGCCAATAAACATGAAGAGATGGTTGACCTCACTACTATCAGGATAATCCACCTTAAAACAAGGTATCAGTTTTCATTGACCAGGTTTTTTTGTTTGTTTGTTTTTTTAATTTATTTATTTTTGGCTGCGTTGGGTCTTCGTTGCTGCACACGGGCTTTCTCTAGTTGCGGCGAGCGGGGGCTACTCTTCGTTGAGGTGCGTGGGCTTCTCATTGCGGTGGCTTCTCTTGTTGCGGAGCACAGGCTCTAGGCACGCGGGCTTCAGTAGTTGTGGCTCACAGGCTCTAGAACACAGACTCAGTAGTTGTGGCGCATGGGCTTAGTTGCTCCGCAGCATGTGGGATCTTCCCAGACCAGGGCTTGAACCCGTGTCCCCTACATTGGCAGGTGGATTCTTAACCACTGTGCCATCAGGGAAGCCCACTGACTATGTTTTTAATTCATGTCTTTTAGTATCAATTGGTGGCAGGGTGGAGGAAAGAGCCCCTCCCTCTGCTGGTGGGAGTGTGAACTGCCACAGCCACTCTGAAGGGCAACTAGGAGTGTCTATTACAAATGTAACTTAGCACATGCCCTATACGCAAAGGAATTCTCTTCAGTATCTATCCTAAACACACATGGGTTCACAGAGTGGTCCACACAAAGATGTTTGTTGCAGCACTATTTTAATAACCCAGTAGCTATCAGAGTAATAAATTATGGTTTATCCATATTAAATGAATCATGGTTTATCCATATTATAGAATATTAAGCAGTTAAAAACAATGAGATAATTTATTATATACCATAGAAAGATTCTATGACACGTTACTGAGTGAAAAAAAGCTGCAGAAAAATACATACATTAAAAATATTAAAACATAAATATCACCATATATTTTCTAAGGATATATATTTGTGTACACAAATACATAGAAGAAACTCTGGAATACTTCACTCCACACTGATAAGAGCTGTTACCTCTGGGAAGGAAGAAACGTTGAAGGCTGTGGTCTAAAGGAACCTCACCCTTAGCAGAATTGTGTTTTTTACTAAATACTTTAAGCACATTATCTCATTTAATCTTTTTAATTGTGAAATACACAAATATATCAACAAAGAAAAAATATTTTTAAAATACCTGTATATCCACCACCTAGCTTTACGCTTAAATTCTTAAAAAGATTTGAGGCAAATAAGGCTTCCCTGGTGGTGCAGTGGTTAAGAGTCCGCCTGCCGATGCAGGGGACACAGGTTCGTGACCCGGTCCGGGAAGATCCCACATGCCGTGGAGCGGCTGGGCCCGTGAGCCATGGCCGTTGAGCCTGTGCGTCCAGAGCCTGTGCTCCCCCAAGGGGGAGAGACCAAAAAAGAGAAAACCCCGCCTACCAAAAAAAAAAAAAAAAAAAAAAAGATTTGAGGCAAATAAAACACTATATATAAAACTAGGGCCCGGGCTTCCCTGGTGGTGCAGTGGTTAAGAATCCGCCTGCCAGTGCAGGGGACACGGGTTTGAGCCCTGGTCTGGGAAGATCCCACATGCCGCAGAGCAACTAAGCCCATGCGCCACAACTACTGAGCCTGTGCTCTAGAGCCCGCGAGCCACAACTCCTGAGCCTGTGAGCCACAACTCCTGAAGCCTGGGTGCCTAGAGCGCATGCCCTGCAACAAGAGAAGCCACTGCAATGAGAAGCCCGCGCACCGCAACGAAGAGTAGCCCCCACTTGCCACAACTAGAGGAAAGCCCGTGCGCAGCAACGAAGACCCAACGCAGCCAAAAATAAATAAATAAAATAAATAAATTTAAAAACAAAAACAAACAAAAAAACCCCCTAGGGCCTGTGTAAGCTCTCCACGTCCCTTCCTCCCCAAGCTTCTCCAAAGTAGTTCTGTCAAGAAGTCAGCATCTGGGACTTCCCTGGTGGCGCAGTGGTTAAGAATCCGCCTGCCAATGCAGGGGACACAGGTTCGAGCCCTGGTCCGGGAAGATCCCACATGCCACGGAGCAACTGAGCCCGTGAACCACAACTACTGAGCTCGCGTGCCACAATTACTGAAGCCCGCGCGCCTAGAGCCCGTGCTCCGCAACAAGACAAGCCACTGCAATGAGAAGCCTGCGCAACAAAGAGTAGCCCCTGCTCTCCGCAACTAGAGAAAGCCCACGTGCAGTAATGAAGACACAACACAGTCAAAAAAATAAATTAATTAAAAAAAAAAAAGAATTCAGCATCCATTACTCCTAAGTATGTTTTTATATGTCATATATTTTATTTAAAACAAATGAACTTGAAATACATGTGAATACTTTCAGATAAAAGTTCTTTTTAATTTTTTTTTTTGTCATTTTGAGGAGTAAAAGACAGGTTTAATGGGAGCCCATTAGGTGTGGGCAGAATAAATCAGGTAAGTATCTTCCTGCCAACTCAGATTCATGAAGACAGAGATACCATCAAGACTTATGAATCCTAGGACTTCCCTGGTGGTCCAGTGGTTAAGAATCTGTGCTTCCACTGCTGAGGGGATGAGTTCAATCTCTGCTCAGGGAACTAAGATCCCGCATGCTGCATGGTGCGGCCAAAAAAAAAAAAAGACTTATGAATCCTTAGCAAGTCCTTATTAGTGACCAGCGGTGCAACAATGAACAGAACCCCAAATGAGATGGATGTCCACACTGGACATGCAGAGTAACTCTACCACGCAGGATGGGAAACTGAAGAGGTAGCCCAGGGGACCTTCTCAGTTCTTCAAGCTAAAAGCCATGATTTTGGAGGAAAAAATCCTTTGGGAAGTAAAGAGATGGTTTTGAAGAGGGTAAACAACAACAAGAACAGCTCCTGGTGAGAGTAGAGGAATCAGACTGAGGAGCAGGCAGAAGAAAATCTTGTAGGAGATGCTGATATGAAGGATTTAATCATATATGAGACAAGCTTAAGATCTGATGGAAGCCTGCCAATGTCACTGCTTAAAATAAAACAAAGCAACAAAGAAGGCGCCTAGATTTATGCCCAGATGATGAGAAAGGACTAACTGCTGAGGTGGCAGTGAACAAATGAACTGGGGAATGAGAACTGGGCATTTACTGAGTGTTGACTACAAGCAAGGTGGTGAGGGAATCATCTTGGATTTTCCAACAGGAGAGAAGACAATGAATGACAGGTCGTAGGACACAAAACTCAAGTCTTTAAGAAAGCAGATTTCTGAAAATCCAGAGAAAAAGTAGCCAACTTCAAAGCCTCAGATTAGGATGATCAAAAAATTTGGAAGACACTAAATACAGTAACTCAGAGTATGAGAGGTGATCCCAAGAAAAGAGAAAGCAACAAAGCTTAGGTGAGCACAACTCACCAAAGAACACATATGGGAGACAGATAAAGGGTAAATTACCAGTATAAGAGAAGAAATGTAAGAAATGCACGAGTCTGAAAGACTACATCAGGCTCTATAATAACATGGAAAATGCTGATGACAGACTGTCAAGTGAAAAGGAAGAAAGCAGTAGAACTACAAAGCGAAAAGCAAAAATAAAGTCCATACCCAGAAAAGATTAGAAGGAAATGCACAAAATGTTGACAATGACTGCATTTGGGTGGTGCACTGTGGGCAACTTTTCTTCTTACTTTACTTTCCAAATTTTCTTTGGTGGACACGAATTGTTTGTCTAACATCTAATGAAGAAAAGGTTACAGTCCAGAGCAAATAGGCTCATCAAAAATGCCAATGGTGGGGGCTTCCCTGGTGGCGCAGTGGTTGAGAGTCCACCTGCCGATGCAGGGGATACGGGTTTGTGCCCCGGTCCGGGAAGATCCCACATGCCGCGGAGCGGCTGGGCCCGTGAGCCATGGCCACTGAGCCTGCACGTCCGGAGCCTGTGCTCCGCAACGGGAGAGGCCACACCAGTGAGAGGTCCTCGTACCGCAAAAAAAAAAAAAAATGCCAATGGGGGACTTCCCTGGTGGTCCAGTGGTTAGGACTCGGCGCTTTCACTGCCATGGCCCCGGGTTAAATCCCAGGTCAGGGAACTAAGATCCTACAAGCCAAGCGGCACGGTGAGGTGGGGGGGGCGGGGGGGAATGGTGGGTTTTTTTCCAAGTGTTTCAAGCAACGTTGCTTTGGGGAAAAGGGCAGAACTGTTGATCTATTTTGCTGTACTACTAAAGGGCAGTAGAATAGCTATCATTAAGTAAGAACTAAAACCCAAGATAGGTGACAAGAAGGGCTTTAGAAATAGTTTTAATAGATTTAAGTCTTCTAATCTAGAATTACGCCCCACTGTACTAACCAAAACACAAAGCAGTGATTTCAGAATTAGGCAGTAATCTCTAAAAAGTTGCAGGGGAGGAACGAGGTACCTTAAAGCCTTGAGAAGGACTAATTCTGTACTGATTTTCAGAAAAGAGGAAAAGAGAAATTCCCAAACAATGCAAAAGATTGTCATTCTCTGAAATTTTTAAAAAATAGCTTATCAGACAGAATCTCTGATCCCTTAAGAAACTTAAGTCTTTCCCATAGGAAATGACATGAGTTCACTAAGAAGCAAGCCAGCTAACCTCTTTTCTTTTTTGATTGGATTAGCAGGCCAAGAAATTCAAAGAATACCACAGACATGTTCTATCTCAAGTTTATTAAGGCGCGTAATCTAGTTCCCCATGACAATAAAATGATAGGTGGGCCTGATAATAGAATAAGACTATAATTGATGCATCTGTGTGTCATGGCATGATACGGGATTATCCTGTTTGACATTTACCAACAACTGGATAAAGATGCAGAAGCCATGCATAACAAAGTGAGGAGTGCAGCTAAAATGTTGAAAGGCAGAGTCAAGATGAAAATTAACTCCGTAAGCTGAAATGGAGTCTTGAAATCAAGATATAATTTAATAGGGATAAATAAAAAGGCAACTTTTTAAAATGTCTCAAATACAAGATGAGAAAGACTGTTTTGATAGGCGCAATTCCTGAGGGAAACAACTGGTGCTTTGGTTGACTAGAAGATGACTACTATGAAATGGCTGGGACAGAAACCGTGGTCAGAGTCCTGCCATGCATTGCACAAATCCAACCAAATCTGGAATCTGTACCTCATCTGATGAAGGACATTTAGAAACTGGGAAGGGTCTATAGGAGGGAGACCAGAAAGTCATGCCACATAAGAAAGTTTAGGGAATGGGCTGTCCATTCCTTCACCTGAAGAGTTACTGTGTGAATGAGGAAAGGACTTAATGTTGTTCTAAGAGTTACACAGTAACTAATAGACAGAAATTACTAGAAAGCAATTTTTGTTCAACATGAAGAAGTATCCAAAAACAAGACCGTGGGGACTTCCCTGGAGGTCCAGTGGTTAAGACTACGCGTGCTTCCATTGCAGGGGGCACAGATCCGATCCCTGGTTGGGGAACTAAAATCTCACATGCCACAGGGTGCAGCCAAAAAAAAAAAGAAAGAAAGAAAGATAAATAAATAAACAGTGTGCATGCCTTAATTAAAACAAAAACAAAAAAACTGACTGCTTCATAAATAGTTCTCATGCCACCACTAGGAAATGTTCAGGCAGAGGCCAAAGGACCATGGGGAACTTTGCCGAAAGGCCTGCAGCACTGGGCAGGAGGAGGGATCCAGATGACCTCTAAGGTCCTTTCCAACCATGAGAGCTTTGATCTTGGAGATAAAGAGAAGCTGCCTGACACTGTCACTCAAAAGTAGCGAGTTACTCTTGATGAGGACTGGTCTAGTGCAGCGCATCCCAAACCACATCCCTGAAGCTGGCAGAGAGATTAGGAACACAGGCTTCAGTCAGACCAGCCTTCAAATCCCAGCCTTGCTACTTACTACCTGTGGGACCTTGAGCAAGTTTCTCAACCTCTCAGCACCTTACTTTCCTCACCAGTAAAACAGAAATGATAAATACGTTCCCTGCAACAGGGTTGTTGGAAGATAAGCTAACCACATAGAGTGATTGGCACATAGTAAACATTTATCAAATGGTGTATTTTATTACTGTTGATATTAATAAGAAGAAATAACTTGACACCTACTGTGGCTGCAGGAATCAAGATGCTTATTCCAATGTCCCCATTCTCCCAAGAGGCTGGACCACTTAGATGACTGTTTGGAAGATGGAGAATGCCAGATAATAATAATAACTAACATTTACTATATGCCAGACACCACTCTAAGAATCATAACATTTTGTCAGAGCCTCCCAACCACCCTATAAGAACTAACGTTAACCTGCCTTTCCAGATGAGGAAACTGAGGTTCTTAGAGGCTAAACAACTTACCTAAGGTCAAAGAGCTAGAAAGTGACAAGTCAGGATTTGAATACAGGCAGTCAGACTTCAGAAACCACGCTCTTAACCACAACACCAGTGGTTCTCAATCCTGACTGCACATTAGAATTACCTGAGGAGATATAAAAATAATAACTATCTTTGAGATCTATCCAAACCCATTCCCCCACTCTAATTTAAATTGATCTGGGAAAGGCAGCAGGGTTCTCTGGAGTTCAAGAACACACTCCAAAACCATGCTGCTTCCTGGATCAAAAAACAGGTTGTAATGAGCAACTGACATTCCAGGCAGATCTATTGTTTTTAAGAGAATCTTTAAAACCATGAGATCGGGATTACTTTTCAAAAAAACATTTTTTTTTAAATTAAAATTTAACCCCGAAAGTGATCATTTTCAGGAAGGTATCCTATTCCCATTTTACAACAAGGAAAGTGAGACCTAAAAAGGTTCACTAACTCGCCCGCATTCACTAAGGAACTGAGACTAGATCCCAGGAGGGCTCGGCACTCTGAAGAGCCCCAGCACAGGTGGGAAGAGAGGCTGAAGTGAGTAATTAGGGATGCTTCACAGAGGCAGTGACATCTGAACCAGAAAAAGCGTGGGACAGGGAGGGGCAAATCAACAGAGTGACCGGCATGAGCAAGGTCAGAAGCAAGATGTCACAAGGACTGCTTACGGGACTAGAAGGAAACAGGGGGGCTTTCAAGGTGGAGCTGTAAGAAAGGCCTCCGACATCTGCCTGGGTCTAGACCGTGCAGGCACATGAATGCCTATGCCTTCACAGGACTTTTCCTGAAACAGAAAAATCCACTCAAGCAGATGCCTGGACGCCTGGCCTGCAAGGGAAGCAAGGTCGTATTTCCAAACTGAACTCATTATGCAGAAAAAAGGAGTAAAGCAGCTCCAGAGTTGAGCTCTGCATCCGAGCCACTCTGCCCACTGGCGTGGAAGGAGGTTTGGGTCTCTGGGATCATATCACATATTGTAAGGCAACAGAGCAAAGCAGTTAAGAGCAAGGCTTTAGAGTCAGGGTTTATCTGGTTTATCAGGTTCTAACCCTGACTCTACTTTTACTAGCTATGTAAACCTGGGCATTTATTTAACTTCTTTGGGCCTGTTTCCTTTGTAAAATAGGGATAAAAATACATTCCTCATGGGGTTGTTGTGAGAAATGAGTACGAAACAAATATGTAACCCGCTAATTAACACAGTGCCTGGTAAGAGAGCAAGTTCCCAACAAATAGTCGCTATTCTTTCATTCATTCAACATGTTTTTATCAAACAAGCAAGCCTAGAGAAACTCACACAGCAGAGCATAGACCTTTAACATGCATTCAGAAGGCTGCCTATTAAGCCCTTCACAAATCCCAAATTTGCAAATACAACAGAGGGCGGTCATTTGCATTTATGGAATAATAAATATGACTGTGAACTCACTAAAAGGGTAATAATAATTTTCCCCTCTATTTATAAATTGCTTTCGAAAACTGGGGTAGATTACTAGATATGATAATTCAGGGTGAATTTCAGGAAGCATGATACTTACCCTAACAAAACACAAAAATAAAATAAAATCACAAGCCTGTATCAACCGAAGTATTAATGGTATCCCCCCAACCAATCTGACTCCCCTAAAAGACAGTCTCACTGTGATACACTCCCACTATATTTAAAGGCAAAGAAAAGTTAACACTTCTATGTTAAAAGCAGAAAATGAGTAAGAGTCCATAAAAGCACAGTTCTAATCTCAGCTCTGCCTCCAACTAGGTGACGTTCTCTGGGGCTTCTCAGAGAAGACAATCTCCTTCTTCCCAGCTCTGACATCTGAGAGACAGCTAATGCAGCTCAACTTTAACAGGTCACCTCAGAAATGGGGAATTCACCAGTTCCTTCCTTAGGCAGTATCTGGATGAGGACTGGACACGCAAGGCAAGGCCAGAAGCATGAGGCCCTGGCAGGGAGAAGTCATTCTCTGGGAAAATGTGGAAAAATTCCCCCCGAACACCCTGTACCTTTCTTCATCATGTCTCGGTCCAAGGCTACATTTCTTTGGGCAAGATTTACTTCTGAGCGAAAATGGAAGCGCTTAGCTCGCTGTTCTTTCTTTTCAATTGCTTCCTAGAAGGTATAGAAAAAGCCAAAGAAGTGAAACATGGAAGAGGAAAGTTAAATCACAAACACAAAATGATGCATCAGTGACAAGTAACTTAGAAGAAATAAGCAACATTGTGCCTTTAATAATTTTTGCAAAGAACTAGATATTCACAGTCAATGACTGGGAGGGTATACACTAATAGTGCTATAATTTGTAATAATCTCTACAATGATTCATTGCCTATCACTGTTATCTGGGACACAGCAGGAATTCAATGAATATTTGTTGATTCAGTGAGTAATGAATAATGGTTTGACATTTATTATTAGGAATCATGTAAACAAATTGTAACTAAACAATCTTAACATTCCAATTTTTCAGGTGCAGAAACTGAGGCACAAAGAAAGTTAAAAGGTTTGCTAGAGGCACTTCAGCTAATAAGGGGCAGATCTTCTGATCTCAGTACTATTTCTAGAAGCCCCACCACCACCCCCATTTCACAAAGTCTGTGTGCATGGTAATCACACCTATCACATTATGTCTGCCTGAGCAGTCCACTCCCTAAAGCTTTTTCTGCATTTGAAAATAACATTGAAGCAAAGAAACTCTCTCCTCTATTCTAAACTTGTGCCCACGGAATTGCCAGTTTTCATCTATAAGTGACAAGAAGCATTGATGCTCTCTAAAAAACAAAACAATCAGTTTCCTAAATTTTTTTTCCAGGAGGTAAAATAAATCCAGGTCCAACTATGGGTTTCTGATAGCTTTTAGGAAGCTTCACTAATTGTATATTGACTTTGCCACACTAATTGAAGGTCTGACTATAGAAAGCTTGTGGGGATTGGTAAAGCAGCAACAATTCTGTTATTTCCCAATAGTTATGCTAATTTTCTTCACTTAAGTTTTCCCAGTGGAAACAACTAATCTACCTTCCTTTAGTAAGACTGAAGTACCAATTCTTGGCTACCACCCTTTCCCCCATATATTTGTTTCATATAATGGCAAACGGTGTGGGCTTAAGAAGAGTACTGTATACTTCTTTTTCAATTACAAAAAGAAAACATCTTCACTTTATTCTATCTTCTTGTCAAAAAAGATGATCAGTTCTTTCTTTTGGCCTTTAAGCAATCAGAGATTGAGACCCAGATAAAACACAAAAAAGTTAGCATGACATACTTATTTTTATTTTTGCTTTCACACATCCAATATAGTAACACAGTATTATTTATTCAGAATTGTAACTTAAACTCTGTTTGAAACTTAATTGCACACATTAAAATCAGAAACAATGTTTAAGCTGAATATCATCAACAATTAAAGCAACAAATAAGTATCAACTGTTTATTGTGAAGAAAATAATATGTTTCGTTCTGTGAAGAGTTACAGTGAAGCTGGTAATCTAGTAACAGCAACCACTAGATAAAAGGCAATACTCCCAGGTACTGGGAATAGTTCAGTCCACTTGGCCTTCAAAGTCTAGCCACACACACACATTCAGGAAATCGTATTTTTCTCGGCCTCAACCAGTGAGGAATAAAGACATTTACTAAGGGCTTACTATGTGCAAGGCACTTTCACGTTTTGCTTCATTTAAAGTGGAAACAGTTTACACATTTTTAAAGAATGGACAGCATAAAAAAAGCACTCCAGTGCAGAACTTTTTCTTGAACATGGTTAATTACAGGCATCTAGGTACAGTGATTATATCTTCTCATGGATTCAACAACACACAAATGCTGTCTGAATGTTCTCAGGATGCATGAAGGCATCACGGTATAACACAAAATTTAAACCTAAAAAAAAGTTTCAATCCAACAACAAAAGAAAAAAGGAGGTAAAGAATAATTGCTGTTCTCCTAGAGATCTGTTCATTAAGTTCACCTGCTTCTCAAAATGAATAAATTAATCATGGTCTGTCTTACCTTGGAGGTGACATCGATTCCAGTGATGAAGCTGCCAGCCTTGTTTTCATATCTTCTGCTTGTGTCCTAACAAGAAGGGGATGGGTGAGAATTGCTAACGAGCAACCGACGACAAGCACATGATAAACAACAGCCTGACAACCCATTCCTTCTGGACAGTCGTTCTTTTCAGCAATCCTTCCCCCGCCCTGACAACCTCATATTATGGGGAAGCCTGTCCCAGTGACTCCATGTAGCAATCAACTACTATACCAAGAAGGCTTTTCTAGGCCTATCCACAACCTAAAGTAATTCCATCTACTGAAGGTATCCGTGTAAATGAAAATCTAAAGGCGTTCATGAAAAATATCCAAGATGATGCACAGTCACTTATCTCCCCAACCCAGACTGGACAAATTCATTGTGCCAGGCCACCAGATGGAGCACAAGTCTTCGCCAAAATGCAGAAAGTCAGGACTCACCTCGACCTTCTGGGGAAAACACAGCACAGTGCAATGAAAATAGGATGGGATTTGGAAGCCTGGGGACTCAAATCACATCTCTGACGTTCACTGATTACATGACACTGTACAATTCCTTTGGCCTCTCTGGGCCTAGGTTTCCTCTGTGGTATCCGCCTACCTTTCTGACCTCTTTTAACTGCTCTCCCACTTGTGCTACAGAACTTTACCTTTCTCCAACAAAACAATCTCGTGCCCATCTCAGAGCCTCTGCACTTACTGTTGCCCCTGCTGGGAACGCTCTCTTCCACATCTTCACATGGATGGCTCCTTTTTGTCACTTAGGGTTCAGCTTAAATTTCACCATCTCAGAGGACTTTCCTGACCATCCTATGCCATTCTGCTTCCTGCTCTGCACACCCTCCCTGCCCTCTGCACACTTCCATCCCATTAACATGCTTTATTCTCTCCACAGCACTCACCACTACCGTAAATTATTAGTTTACTTGTGTCCCCCCAACTGGAACATAAACTCCAGGACACAGTCTGGTCTTGATCTTGGTCAAGTGCCTAGGGCTGTGGCTGGCACTAAGTGGGGGACGCAATAAGTACATGTTGAATTGAAGGAATGAAGGGATGATAACACCTACTTCACAACCTCAGTGATACTTTAAATGATATAATGTAGTAAATGGTAAAATGCCACTATGTTAGTTGTTGTTGCCAGAGTCACTATAATTTACTGTCTTTAGTGCTCCTACCTTTTTTTTTTAAATCTTTTTCCATAATCTTAATTTAAAAGCAAGACTAGCAGACATGTGCTAAAAAGTAATCCATGTTAGGTGAGAAATTAAGTACATGAGAGAAGCCATGCAGGCCTGAGACCAGCCCTAAGAACCGGACACAAGACCACCAACCCAAAAGCAAAAACACCTCTCAGCATCCCCATTGTGATAAAAGAGGGACCAAGGACCACTGCTGGTTCACTGATGTTTTGTTTTCATTAAGGGGTGAGATGCTGGAGCCACGGTGTAACAGCGGAGCCGCGCGGGGACAAGATGACCCTCAAGTCACAACAGAAACACAGAGTTTCTGCAGCTGACAAGCCCAGCTCTCCCAAGGGAAACCGCGAGTGCTATGTTTAACAGACACCAGCTCCACCGGAGTAGGACCCACAAAGAGACCGGGATGCCCGCGCCACTCGACAGTTCCTCTGGGCCGCTCCTGGTTCTGTTCCCGCCCGGGGCTCGCCCTTTATCTCAAGCCCCCAGATAAGCCCAACCCCTCCTCATTCACACTCTTGCACAGACTGACTCCGAGGGGCAGCGAAGGGGGTGTCCTCAACTACCCCCCAGCTCTTCCCCAACTCCTCCAGCCCCCGCAACACCCATTTCCGGGCGCCCCAGCGTCCTTTCTCTTGCTGCCCGTTTCTGCTCAAGCCTGGCGCCCCCGCCCCCCGGGCGCTCGCCCCCCTCATCCCTTCCCCAGACTTCCCCCAGCCCCGGCCACCTCCCCTTCCGGCCCCCACCGGCGCGGGACACTCGCTCAGCGACCTCCTCCTCGCCCTCGCCCCCGCCCCCCGCCCGTACCGGGATCAGTTCCTTTAGCGAGCGCCGAACCGGCACGACCTCCAGCTCGCCCTCCTCCACCTCCATGGGCTCCGGCTCGCCGCGGTCCAAACCTGACTCTGCTTCAGGCGACGGGGGCCCCAAGGCCGGCCCCGCCGGGACCTCCGCCTTCACCGACACTCGCAGGCCCCGTACGGCCGCCATCGCCGCCCGCCGGCCGCACCACTGAGAGTTCGCCCCGCACACCGCGGGCTAGAGCGCCACTGCCACAGGCCACAGAGCAGCCGCTACCTAGAGCGTCGCCTGCTGCGGCTAGAAGGCTCTCTTCAGCGCCTACGTCCTCTGGTGGTGGGAGGAACCCTGGCCGGCTGGAGCGGGATCTGGTGAAGAGGAGGCGGGACCGAGTGGGAACGGAGGCAGGGCCTGCTGGAGGGCCACCCCCCTGCGGGGCCTGGAGCAGTTCGCTACAGTCTGGGCTCAGGAAATAGCTACACCTTGAGCAGTAAACTTGTAATCAAAGCTAATTTTACTGAATTACCATTACCTGCCAGTGACTGTTCCAAGTGCTTGAATCCTTACAACAACCCTATGAAGTTTCTACTTTTACTATCCCCATTTCACATTTGAGGAAACTGAGGCATTGAAATTTACCCAAGGTGACAGGCTATTTAAAGGACAAAATCCGGATGTGAGCCTTGGCAACCAGAATGAGCCTTGGTCTGTCACTTCTGGGCAAGTCTGTAGGTTTACAATGCACTTGCCTTGACAACCTTTGTCTCAAGTTTCCCAATAGTTGGCCCATTTTACATACTGCAAAATTGAGACTCCAAGAGGGTAGTGAGCTTGAACGCTAATTTCGTGTCTCCCAAGGGCTCGGTGTACTGGAGACTTCTGAGCATGGTTTCTTGCGGACATTTCTAACAAGAACCTGGTTGGGAGAGAGGGAGTGTCCTCTAGGCTTCCAGAGGGCGCCACTGGTCAGTTTTTGCTTTGAGTCCTGATTTTGCACCTTCCTCCCTGTGTTACCTTGGGCTAGTTCTGACCCCTTTCTGGCCCTGTCTTCCCATCTGAGGGAGGGTGGAGGTGGGATCCTAGGGTCTCCAAGGCCTTACCAGCTCTGACAATGGAGAAGCAAATAATTATAAACCAAGGGAGAACATGATCAATATCAGACACACCTGGGTCTCAAGCTGGCTGGCTCCACCCCTTACACCACATGTGACCTTGGGCAAGCTACTTAACCCTTTGGAATTTCAATTTCTTCATCAGTAAAATGGGTCATTACCCACCATGGGAGGTTGTGAGGCTTAAATGAGATAATTATATGTAGATACAGGACCATACAGAAGGGGTACAGTACATCCTAGTTTTTTGTTTGGTTGGTTTTGCTTTTTTTAAAATATGGTCTAAAACACAGAGCAAACACGAGATGGAGCTCTGTAGAGGGCTAGTTTTCCTTGATGAAAGGGACACATAGTAGTTACAATATTGGGTTAAATATATGGAATGCACTTGCATGAATTTTAAAGAACATTTTAAAGAAAGTTTGTGCTTAGCTGGCCAGCTTTGGGCCACAGTCACAGACCACGCCATTACATGTATTCCATAGGCCTGAGGGGGTGGGGCATGGGGAGAGGAGGAAGCAATCCCTCCTCAGCTATGGACATCAGGAGGCCAGCAGAGAAGGTTGCGCAGGTCCCTCTCCCTGCAGGGTAAGAGCCTCGAGGACTCAGGCATTGCAATTCAGCACAGTTTAGAGGAGAACCAGCTCCCTGGGGGACCTCTGGCTGGCATGAGAATCAGGAATCCAGGGCAAGCCAGGGCATCCAGCAAACACCAGGGGTCCTAGACTCCTGTCAGAAAAGCCCTTGATGCCTGTACCTTTCTGTTCACCTAACTCACCCCCACCACCCCTTCCTTTCCTCAGTGCAGCCTGCTGAGGTGAGGTCACAACACTAGTAGCGGCAAAGAACAATTTTCAAAAAAGTTAAAAAACATGACACCCAAATATTAAATGAACACGTCAAAGCTTTTAATCCTCATTAATGAATTAGGACATCAGTAAGATTTTATAAATTTATTTATTTATGTATTTATTTTTGGCTGCATTGGGTCTTTTTTTAAAATAAATTTATTTTATTTTTTGGCTGTGTTGTGTCTTCCTTGCTGCACGCGGGCTTTTCTCTGGATGCAGCGAGCAGGGGCTACTCTTCATTGTGGTACACAGGCTTCTCATTGTGGTGGCTTCTCTTGTTGCAGAGCATGGGCTCTAGCCGCGCGGGCTTCAGTAGTTGTGGCACACAGGCTCAGTAGTCGTGGTTTGCGGGCTCTAGAGCACAGGCTCAGTAGTTGTGGTGCACGGGCTTAGTTGCTCCGCTGCATGTGGGATCTTCCCACACCAGGGCTCGAACCCGTGTCTCCTGCATTGGCGGGCGGATTCTTAACCACTGCGCCACCAGGGAGGCCCTGCATTGGGTCTTCATTGCTGTGTGCGGGCTTTCTCTAGTTGCGGCGAGCAGGGGCTACTCTTCGTTGCGGCATGCGGGCGGGCTTCTCATTGTGGTGGCTTCTCTTATTGTGGAGCACGGGCTCTAGGCGTGCGGGCTCAGTAGTTGTGGCTCACAGGTTCTAGAGCGCAGGCTCAGCAGTTGTGGCACACGGGCTTAGCCGCTCCGCTGCATGTGGGATCTTCCCGGACCAGGGCTCGAACCCATGTCTCCTGTATTGGCAGGCGGATTCCCCAACCACTGCATCACCAGGGAAGTCCCCAGGAAGATATTAAGACTAGCTCAAAAGAGAATTTGAGCATGAATACCAAGTTGGTCAATCAAAGGAATATTGAAATGAATTTAACCACAGAGGTTAATGCTCTGCAAAGCAAGAAACTGTAACCTTTGGGGTTCCCTTTTCTACCAGACAGAAAAAATTTGCATTACTATTGGACAAGAATTATTTACTCAAAAGAAATAAATTTAAAAAAAGAATTATTTGCTCATTGTGAATTTTCTATAAATTAACCTCTGCCCTTACAGAGTTGTAAAATACCCTAATCAATAGTAAATCGGAAGTCAAACCAGGGTACCCTTCCCTAGAGAATGAGATGATCCCAGGTGGAACAGGCATGTTAGAGAGCAGCCGGCACTATACTGAAACAACATCAGTGTGGCTATTTTTCCTATTCCTTTTTCTTATTTCCAATGTCTGGATAATTTTCTATTCATAGAAGAAACCAGGAGAGTGGGATACTGAGACAGACTGGAGAGTTTCATAAAAGAAGTGATCAAGTGTCACAGACAGGACTTCCCTGGTGGCGCAGTGGTTAAGAATCCGCCTGCCAATGCAGGGGACACGGGTTCGAGCCCTGGTCCGGGAAGGTCCCACATGCCGCGGAGCAACTAATCCCATGCACCACAACTACTGAGCTTGCACTCTGGAGCCCGCGTGCCACAACTACTGAAGCCTGCACGCCTAGAGCCCGTGCTCCGCAGCAAGAGAAGCCCCCACTTACCGCAACTAGAGAAAGCCCACGCACAGCAACAAAGACCCAATGCAGCCCAAAATAAAAAAATAAATAACATTTTTTAAAAATACATTATGTCATATATCCACCTTTAAAAAAAAAAAAAAGTACCACACTAAGGCAAATGTTACTAACAGGGGAAACTGGGGGGCAGGAGAGGCAGGTGAGAGGGTGTATGGGACTCTACTTTCTACTCATTTTTTCTGTCAACCTAAAACTGTTCCAAAAAATAAAGTCTGTTTATTAAAACAACAACAACAACAAAACCTTGACACCCAGACTACATTCCAGACCAAAATAAATCAGAATCTGTAAGGGTGGATGATTTTTTAAAAGCTCCCTGGGAGATTTTAGCATGTAGCCAGGTTGATAACTGATGTTTACGCTGAACTGGGAATGGGAGAGGGCAGACTACAGCTGGGAGCTCTCTCAGCTTTGGGGTGCATTTCCCAGGGAGGTGGGTGGATGTTGGCAAGATTACCTGAAAGAAGATGAGAGCACCTGAGGATATGTGGATCCTCTCCTGTGAAAGCTCTGTGCCTCAAGGCTGATCCCCTGCGCTTGGGGGAGACCGAGGGCGAAGAAGTTTAACTAGCCCCTTCCCATCTTGCGGTTCCCCATTGTTGTGGTTCCATTCCTGCAGTGTGGACCTGTGCCTAGGCCATGGGGAAGGGAAGGTCTTGGGGAGACCAAAGGACTGGGGGGAGGGGTTGTCAAAGGGCTCTCAGTGCAGAGAGCATCAGCCACTGTGACCAGAGCAAGCAGGGACCAGCGCTGCTGGGGACGGGACACACTGAGCCAGGAAGTAACAGGGAAGAAGGAGTCTGCGCAGATGGCATCTGAGAGAGAAGCCAGGAGGGGCTCTTCCTGTATGCCTGGGAGTGTGGGACAGCAGCCTTCAGAAAGCCAAGGCGGTGGAAATTGGGAAATAGTTAAGGGAAGACCTGAGCTAGTTTGCAGGCTGAGGAGCAGGGAGGGAAGAACAGAGAAGGCCAGAGATATACAGGCTAGCGAAGAGGCTTACTAGGGATCAGGTGGAGAGAATTGGGTTCCCAGAGGGAAAGTCCCACTCTTGCGATTCAGTTGAGAGATGCTTTTCCAATGGTCTTCATCATGGCGGATCAGTGAGTAGACAGATAACAAGTTGTGAAAGTGACTCAGCCAGTAGGTAAGGCTGCAATCCCTGGGCCTTGTTTCCAGTCTTATAGGAGATGAACCAGACATCAGACCACATGCCAAGGGTGCCTCTGGGGCTGTGGACCAGGGAAGGCTTCCTGGAGGAGGTGACCTGGAGATGGTGGGGGCCTAGGCAGTGGGGAGAGCATGGAAGTTGACCACAGAGCTGGCATGGGCTAATGATAAACTGTCAGCCCAACCTGGGTGGGAACTGGCAGCTGCCCTGGAGAGTGAGAGGTCCCAGACTTTGTTCCCTGGGTCATGCTAGCTGGAGAAGTGGATGTATCTGAGACCTCAGAGGGCAGATCCAGGTCAGTCTGTGTGTGTGTGTGTGTGTGTGTGTGTGTGTGTGTGTGTGTGTGTGT